CATTTTCTAACTAACGATCATAAATTAAATAAGCATTTTAAATACTTGGTTACAAATCCTTTGCAGTTGATGACTGCCTGAAGTTTGGAACCTATAGAATGGCTCCAAACCTGGTGAAGCTTCCGTTGCTGCTTGTTCTTAGTGTATTTTACCTTCAGTTTTGCCTTTAGTAAGTAAAATGCATGCTTGATTGGATGGAGGTCAGGTGATTGACTTAGCCACCGCAGAACATTGCACTTTTTTGGCTTAAAGTATTGGGTTGCTTTCGCAGTGCACTTCACGTCACTGTCCATCTGCACTGTGAAGCGACGTCTGAATTCTGAAAAAATTCGGCTGAATCTGAGCAGGTAATACAGCCCTATGTACGTATACACTATACATAGAATCCATCCTGCTGCTTTAGTTATCAATAAACACAAGGGAGGCAGTTCCACTGGCAGCAATACCTGCCCACGCCATAACACTACCTCCACCATGTTGGACAGATGATATGCGTTGGATCATGAGCAGTTCCTTCACACTCTTCTCTTCCCACTATTCTGTAACAAGTTGATCTTTGCCTCTTTTGTCCATATGATGTTGTTCCAAAACTGTACAGGCCTTTTTAGAGTTTTTTTGGCAAACTTTAATCTGGTCTTCCTGTTTTTGACGCTGGCCAATGGTTTATATCTTGTGGTAAACCTTTCGTATCTACTTTAATTGTTGACTTTGACATCTACCTTCTGGAGGGTGTTCTTGATCTGGCCAACTGGTGTGAAGGGGCTTTTCTTCACCAGGGAAAGAATTCTTTTATCTTTTACCACAGCTGTTTTCTGACATCTTCTGGGCCCTTTGGTGTTTCTGAGCTCACCAGTGCATTCTTTCTTTTAAGGAATGCACAAAATGTTTGATTCAGCCACATATAATGTTTTTGCTATCTGTCTGATGGGTTTGTTTTGATTTTTCAGCCTGATGGCTTGCCTCACTAGTAGTGAAGCTCGTTGGACTATTGAGAGTTCACAGCAACATATTCCAAATGCAAAGGCTACACTTGCAATCAACTCTAGACCTTTTATCTGCTTAATTGTAAGTGAAATAATGAGGGAATAACACACGCCTGGCCATGAAACAGCTGAGCAGCCAACTGTCCAATTACTTTCAAGCTCCTAAAAATGGGGTCTATGTGAAAATGGTTGTAATTCCTACACCATTCAACCAATTTGGATGTAAATACCCTCGAAATAAAGCAGAAAGCTGGAGCTCATATTCATTATGCTGTGGTAGAGAGCAAAAATAACTTTGTCAATGTACAACTTTTCATGTACCTGATTAAATAAAGTACAACAATGCATATGTAAATACTGTAAATTAGACAACAAAATGCACTTCTTAATATTTTAGACATTTTTGAAATATAATGCATTATGGATATTCATTTTATAACTTCAACTTGTCATTTTATAATCACCTACAGCTGCGTTCTGTTTATACTCGACACATTAAAATGTCTTTATTTTGTATTTGTTTTATTTTACAGCTTTCTACTAATTTGCAATGTATTTATATACAATTTGTAATTACATAAAAACTACACCTTATAATGAAATGCACCCTGCCTTTGTTATCACTGGCAACAAATGATGTTTCTAAAAGTTCTATAAATAAGACACACATTATTACACTTCAACAACAGGCTTTATAAAAATTGTTTTAACTCTTTAAAATCTCAGGGTGGTACATACTAAGGCTTATTCAGTAAATACAGGGATTTCAATGTAAACTTGTTGAGCTATTCTTAGGTTATAGAAGTGTGTAATAACACTTTGGGCCTGCTGGTGGGCCCTGGCTATTTAAAGGGTTAACCCCTACAACCCTACATTCACATATTGGGGCTCACCCTTACTACATAACTTACCTACAGTACTGTACAAAGGTTAGAGAGCACCTTTCATTTATTTAATTTCCAGTCTAAACAGCCAATAAGTACAAGTTATTCAGTTTTCAGGAGATTTCTGAAGAGATAAAATTCAAGATAATCCACTTACACAAGGAAGTGAAAGTCAAATGAGCAAAATAAATAAATAAATAAATAAAAAACAAACAAACAAAAGAAAAAAAAACAGGAGTTTCCAGAACTTGAGTAATAAATATTATTACGGTAACACTTTCTATAAATGTCACATTTGTAAACATCTATAAGCACTTTTATAACATGTTATAATGCATTCAAAAGGCATTATAAACATAGTTATAAATATTTATAAAAATGAATTACACTGAATTAACTTTATAGCTATGTTTATTATACTTTATGAATTGTTAATATCATACATTATAAGTAGTGTTAATAACATTCTGTTACACTTTCAGTGCCAAAGAAGTCAGTCCCAGCTTGGAGAGCGTAAAGACAAATACAAAGTTTATTTGAGACTTTCAATATTTTATTTGAGTGTAAAGTCACTGTGGAGTGAAGGCCTGGAGAGGGAGAGGTGAGAGAGTAGAGTGCCGTCATTGTAATTTGTTACCTCACTGGTTCTAACGTCAAGGGCTATAACCCTTCACTCTGTAACGCCACTACACTACAGTACAGTAATGCTAATTTCTGCTAGCATTCTGTTGCATATGCAGTGTTAAGTTAGTGCCAAGCTAACGGTGGTGTATATTGACTTTCCCACATTGGGTAAAACACTGATGGCAGCACTAGTTTAAAATCTGACATTTGAAGCCTGTAATGTGCTTCATTGTGAATGTTTTAGTGTTTTAGTAAATCCTTCAGTAAATACTTCATCTTGAAGCCTCACTCTTAACACTGGAGGAGGCTTTAGTACAGTATGCTTCACTTAGAGCGGACAAATACCACTTACAGATACAACAATAGATTTCTTTGAAAAACTGAAAGTAAGTCTTTCAAAAAGAATGGAGGCTGTTATAAAGAGTGGGCACACTTTTTTGGGCTTTTTTTTCCTAATGTTGAAAAATGAATCACTTGTATTTACTGGAAGTTAAATAAAGGGTGGTCTCAAACTTTCTCACAGTACTGTATTTGTTTCAGAATAGTGAGTGAATAATTCATAATACTTACTAGATAATAAGGTTTAAAATTAATAATGGAGTAATAAGCCCGCAGTTCAAAGGTAATATTTTGTGTGGCTTCTGCATATATCTCCAGTCTGCTATGAAAAACTGAACAAAAAACGTTAAAAAAAGAACTGATCCCCGCCCTCCTCCGTGAGAGAAGATCCAAAAGAGAAGGTCATGAATGTGGTGTTAAAAGATAAACAGGTAAACATAAGCATTTCTGAGAGTTTTATTTGCATGCGAGACTCCTAATAAACCATTTGCTTCCAAAAATATTTTAATAATTGACTAACATTGCCAGACAGGCACAAGCTCTGTTTGACAGGGTGCATCCTAATATTCTCCACACAAAAGAACTTTTCCAAGTAAACATCAATAAACAGAAATACATCACCGCTTCTTATCACACATTTGAACTCCATCTAAAAGGTTTGTTTGAACAAAAAATGTGTCTGAATGTTGAACAAAAAACATTCATTCCACCAGTAAAAACTACAAAACATTGTCAAGTTCATACAGTCAGGATTTCTTAAACGGGGTTTAAAAACTAATTCAGACGTTTGCCTTCCCCTCAGCGTCAGGGCCAAAGCCTGAGAAGCAAAGACAGTCCTGATCAAAAGGCCTGTATTCACCACTAAACGCTCCAACTGGACAGCGCAGTCGTCCAGCTGCCAACTAGACCCTGGTTAGACTTGGCCAGAGAGCCAAGACTCCTTTCTGTCACACACACACAAACTTCTGCAGATCAGCTGCCAGCCATGCTGAAGACCGCCAACAGCCTGCACCCTCTTACCCACAGTGGACACAGACCTGTGCATTACACTCCACCTTAAGTGTCGCACCACATCAGCCGTATGGAAAAGTTTGAACACCCTGGTACAAAGATATGTTTTGCTGATTTGAAAATAAGTGAACACATCCAATACACACACTTAAATACTGTAGTTATTTAAGTCTTCGCTGAGTTTAACATATTTGAAAAACAAACATAAAATAGTGTCTTGTCAAGTGAAATTGTGTCAATTCTAGTTGATGTATCTAATATTTCTCATTTCGAGATGGTTGTGCACTTATAATAAGACTATTTAGCTTATTTCTAGACACTTCTTTTACCTGTTTTAAGAAATTTATTAAGTAAAATTCTCATTATACTGGCAATATTGGAGATATCGAGTAGTTTTAAGATATTTTACTTGACAAGATACTATTTTTGTGCAGTGCATAAAATAACAAATGTGCCATAACTTCTGCACAAGCCACATTTTAGGTTCTTAGGTTATTTTCTTCCCAATTCATCAAATAAACAATTATAATGTATCAACATGTGCAGAAGTGTTCTCTGTATCACAGGCATTAACTTATTATCACCTAGAAAATCAATAACATGTCATTTGACCAGCGCCCCCAAACTTTCACATACGACTGTATGTTTGTTCGCAGCAAAAGACTCATCCATGCTCCGCCCAGAAATTTGACCAGTTTAAAAGGTACTGATATCATGCTAGACTTTGGTGTTGTAGTTATAAGCAAATAAGAGCAATAGTATCATTAGTGTCATTCAAGAATGTTTGCAAATCAAATAAAGAGGCTGCTGGTGTTCTCAGAACAATGGAGTGACCACCCCAGAGTCCAGACCTCAACATCACTGAATGTGTTTATTTGCAACCAATTTCTAAGACTGAACTTTAGAGGTGTGGAAAAGATTTCTTTAAAATACTGAAAGTCTCTTGAAAAGAATGGAAGCTGTGATAAAGGTAAAGAATGAACACAATGTATATACATACATATATATATATATATATATATATATACACACACACACACACACACACACACATACATATATATATATATATATACATATATATATACATATATATATATATATATATATATATATATATATACACATACATATGTATTCTTTAGTTTATATATGTTTTCAATTCTTTTTCTGATGCTCAAAAAATTAATAACGTACTTAATTGCTATTTTGCAATGGTAATTTAATTAGATTTAATTAAATAAAATATCCTCAGCAGAGTGCTGAACACATTTCAGAGGATGCATCCCTGATATATTATTATATATTAATATCTTATTGCAAATTTTGCTCCCACTTGATTTCTGAGGCATCTTTGCTCTTTTAGCTACAACGAATAGTAGAAAGCGGTGCAGTTTGTTGCACTCTGAGGTGAAGAGGATGCTTGGTATGAATTTATGAATTTAAATAAGCTATAATTTATTTTTTTTAACATTTTCCATATGTATGACAGTGACCGGAGTTTCTAAAAGCCTTTGCTAATGAAATGTATTTTAAGCTACATTTTCTGTGGCTTAAAAAAGATGAAGCTTCTAAATACTAAATAGACAAACAAATACTAACATAACTGACATTTATTTGGGCCAGTTCTCCTGTAAATACAGCTGTTTTTACAAACAATTTCTCATTATGTTGAATGGGATTTTTTTTACCAGCATTTGTCTAACACAGCAACAGTAGCTATGAAAGAACACATCTGTGGGTGGAGCATGAACAGGTCATTAAAGGATGATAAAAACAGGTTAAATTAACTGTTCATTCTCCACCACAGCTGCAATAATCACTGATTGCATTTTTGTTGCTCACTGATTGCATTTCTGTTGCTTGATCACCCATGATGCATCCAAGTGCTCGGTCCATTTTAAGATTTTAAGTTTTGCGTGGTTCCACAGCTGCACTCAGACTATGCTTAAGGCACATCCTGTTATTCATATTTCACCCACTTCTAGTTCACTCATTTGTCAAAAAAAACAAAACAAAGATCCGTGCTTGTACACCAGCATTAGTGTTTGGCCCACAGCCTTGCCAACAGCCAAAGGGGCTGAATTAAATTCACATTAAATCGAGATGGCCTGGGCATTCCTGGCTGGGCACATAATTAACCAATGGAGACAAAAAAAAAAACACACACATCACATGTCCAGGCCCTAAAAACTTTTCTGACTGCTGTGCTTTTCCTTGGCAGTAGTGTTTACAGGACGGACTCCTGATAACGCAGTCTGAAGACAAACAGCTGATCCTCAGCTTTCCCACCCAAGGCACTAACCCACAACAGCGCCTGGCGCTTTCTGGCAGCATTCTGCGCTCGTACCTGTGCCGTAAATCAGGCTCGGGAGCACCAAGAGTCTTCGCCCCTGTCCGTTTATGACAAGAGACGCTAAACTGCGCAGATGGGGGCAGAGAAAGGCAAGCTGCTTAATCTCTTTGGACGGATTTATATTCTCCAGTCAGTAAAGTGTGCGTTGGAAATGTCTCATTAAAATCAGCGGAAGGCCAGGTGGTGGTGGGTAACCAGTGGTTGGAAATGAAGGCTGAGTGAAGCAGGCAGAGTTGCAGAGTTGAGGCGGGATTTTGCTGAAGCTAGAGTTGTCCCCTCTCTCTGCAAGGGGTCCATTAGCTCAGGATGAAAGAAGGGACAGCGATGCCAATGAAGAAGTTCCAGAACCTTTCCTGAGGCAAAGTAATTTTCAGTTCCACCAACTTCAAGTTTTAGCTCCCAGACTAGTGGTTACACCCTCGAGAGTCTTTAAAGGAATACTCATTACCAACCTGCCATATCTGTAGAATACGGTCAATTTACATGCAACTAGTTGCATGTTGTGAGTAGCATACAGCAATATGCATATATACAGCATTTTAGTGTGTTTGTATTATTTTTTTAATTTGTCATTGCCATCAGTTTCCCATTCTGTAATAATTTCCATCCTTTGGAAATCAAAGGAATCGGCACTGCGTCATTTTAGAGGGCATGAAAAGACGAGAAAATTAATATTCTAACTACTAAGATCACAACGTCCGCAGACTAACAAACAAGAGTAAATAGTGGCTGGCTAGTTAAACCAGGTGGTTACAGAAACTATAGCTTCGAGTACTCTTTGTTTGTTTGTTGTACTGGCACAGGCAACTGACAAAATGAAAAACCACTAACCTCGCATGTTGGTTTCAAGCAACGAAAGTTGCATGAAATGTTTCACTGTGTAAAACTAGCCCACGGTTTTTTGGTACCTGTAGTGATTAGTTTGTGGAAACTCCATCTACACTGTTAACAAATGATCACTATTTTTTCCTATGGAAAATAGTCTCATCTATGAAACACTGAACTGAAATTTCTATACATGTTCACTGATGCATCTTTCCAGTGGCTTCTGAGTGTTTTGAGTAAATGGGTTTTCTGTACAGCAACGGTTCTCAATCCTGGCCCTGTAGTGGAGTTTCTCCTGTTCCAGTCTCTCCAGTTAAAACTAATGAAGCCCTTCCTGAGGCCGAGCAGGGAGACCATTTCAGCATGTAGGGCAGACTGTAACAAGGATTGAGAAGCAAACCATTGGTGTACCGGAAAACACTACAAAACTGCCTGCAGTGATAAACCATACAATGTAGATGTAATAAATAACTTTTAGACCAAAGTATTCCTTTAACTTGTGACTCTAGTTTAAATGGAGCAGATGGACGCGTGTCTGTATGTGGATGCGTAAAAGGTTTTTGGTTAATGCGTGTCCTTTCTCGGCTGTAAACTCTATGACTTTAAAGTGCTGCGTTCACTGCAGGCTGACTTCTCTATTCTCCACAGACCAAAGAAACCCACCTGCTTGCACTCATCTCTTCTCATCTGAATGAGCTGTTTCCTTCACTCTGCAGCGAAGGTCTTCAGCAGGGGAGGGGGAAAAAAAGCCGTTTAATAATTTGTGCGTCTGCTGCTGTTCCGAATCCGCTACCGGCGCACTTTTTCCCCGACATTCTGCTGATGGAACGGCATTCAGAAATGCTTATCATTACAAAAACCCATCTACCACCTTTCATACTCCCAATATTAGCTTGGGTAAAATCTATAAATACGAGAGGATAAATAAACCATGTTTCCCCCCCTCACATCTTATTCGCTCTTCAAGGAGTTTGGCACTTAACAAATGACTTTGGTCTCTATTGCATCGCTCCCAGACTGGCACATGAGACACAAGCAAAAGAGACAAAGAGACAAAGCCTCCAGGTCAGAAGAGTTGTAAGAGGAACTCAGGTGCCCAGTCCATGGCAGTCTGGGCCACTGCCAGGGCAGCTGCCCCCAACGTGGCTGAGAGACCCCAAACGGCCATTTTAATGAGCTGGTGGGCACCGCCGCTGCGGGCATTGGCACGGACCAGATCAAGGTTGGTGTTGTGGCGCTGGTGGAGCTGCTGGCGAAGGATGGAGTCCGGGCGCTGCTGCAGAGTGGACGTCTGGAAGTCCTGGAAGGAGCTGATTGTGATGCTGAAAAGAGAGAGAGAATGAGAAGGCATGAGGGACAGGAGAGAAAATATCCTCTGGTTTTAACGCTAAATCCTAACAAAAGCACTCAGCTCATTTAAATAAGCAGAAATTGTGGGGAAAGTGGATCCATCTTTCAATGCCATTCCATATCACATTTATGATTAATTCATGAAATAATTAATAGATGAGTTATTTTATTGTACAGTTATGTTTTGTAGAAAGAAAAAACATCCTTTACATTGTTGGCACTTTTTTCTACTGTCCAACATTAAAAGGATATCAAGGACATCAAACATAACATAATCCACTTGCATTAGGAAGGAGAAAGTCAAAGAAAATAAGTGAAAACACAAATTTCCAAAACCGGAGTTCAAAAAATCATTAAAAGACACAGAGGACTAACAGTCGTGCAAGACATGGCAGACCACCAAAACTGTCCCCATTAAACAGAAATTAGAGCTTTCATCTTTGAGAGAGAGCAGAAAATCAGTGCTCGGACCTCAACATCATTTCATGCATCTGGGATTACTTGCAACCAGCAACAACCAACCTCTAAGACAGAAATTTGGAGGTGTGGGAAAATATCCCTGTAGATTTCTATAAAAAACTGAAAGTGAGTCTCCTAAATAGAATGTAAGCTGTAATGAAGGTAAAGTGTGAACACACTAAATACTGAAAAAAAAGGATATTACATTTAGTTGTTGACGCTTGTTTGTAATTTTCTGCTACGTGTTCTGCTTTCCTGAAGCTGAAGAATGAATAGCTTGTAATGGCCATTACAATGAAATGACAGGGTGGTCTCTGATTTTGCACAGTACTGTAAATCAAATGTAATTATATTTCACTCTGTAACTGTGTAATTACTATGTATTGTTTTAAATAGCACAGCAAAATGAAAATAATAACTGTAAATGTCCAAGGATTAAACTTAGTTTATATCATATGTTACTATGTATGGTCATTCATTCCGGAAACTTCTTATTAGCACCTCGAGTTCAGAGAAACATTCTCACTCCATCACAAATATATAAGCATTTTTAGTTCATTTCTTACACATAATAACACCATAATCAAAGCAAATGTGTATCTTCAAAACTGTTTACTGAAGCTAATGACTATCATTTCTTGCATTGAGTGCTGATTAGGAATTTGAAGAATGTAGTACTTTAAACTAACTTTAAATCTCTTCTGAGTCTATAGCAAAAACAGAGTCACCCTCTGTTCAATCAGTCAATGTAATATTAAAGCTATTACAGTATTAACCGGAAGACTGAGTGACTGACAGATTAATTCTTGCATAAATATATGCAGAGAGAGAAAAAATAAGAAGGAAAAAAGTAAGAAAGAAAGAAGGAGGGCCTTGGGGGGACAGGGGATGCCTTCTAGCTTGCTTACAAAGGACAGAACTTTTAATTTCAAGAGGAATGTTTCCCAATTACAATAGTAAGGCAAGGCAACAGAGCCTGTGCTGAGGGCTAGAGCACGTACAGTTCCCTTCAACAGTTTGGAGGAAAACATCATTAAAAAAAAATCATAAAATATTCAATTCCATTTCATTATCGTCCCTCTGGTAGAACAGTAAACACAAAATGCAAATGCCGTTCTCTCAAGACTAGAAAATGCCCAGGAAAAAAAAGCGACTCATGAAGACTCTTGATGAAGTGGCTGTTGTGAGAAAAGGACTGAGGGCGCGAGCTGAAGGGCTCAATGTCTTTAAGACTTTGCTCGTTTTCCTTTTTTTTTTTCCCTTCGTTCCTTTTCATTCCCCCTTTTCTGCAGCTCTCATTAAGATCTGCAGCTAATACCGTGCAGCTGAAAATAGCTGACAGGTAACAGCAGAGCAATTAACTTTTAAACTCTCACTTTAAGAGAGTAACACCCGAGAGAGGCAGGCCCTGCGCTGATGAAACCGCAGCCTAATCTGTGACACGCTTGCGCAGTTTCCGTCACTTTAAACACTGTTAAAGGCACAAAAAGGATTTTTGTCCCCCACACGTGGCTCACAAGTTGCATATTACTGGTTAACTGCAAGTCACATGGTTGGTCTCATGACTTGCCGCAGACCAGGAACGGGAAGTGATGGCCTTTATGAATATTAACTCCCACATTTCCACGTTTAACACAAGGAATATGACCTCAAAAGAGGTAAAGTTCCATGTTAGTTCTGGAGTCATGATGCATCTGAGTTAATGAGTTACACAGTCACGTGGTTGGTCACTTGACTTGTCATCAACCAGGCATGGGAAGTAATGTCGCATGGAGGTGGTCCTCAGGTGTGATCTTGAGCCACCTCAAGGAGAAAGAACACAAACTGACAGTAAAGTCAGTATTTCCTTTTCTCACAAAGTCATAAAATCCTGTATGCAAAAGTCAATGACCAACCTTAACTTTTTTGATTTTCGGGAAAAACAGCCATAAAAACAAGACACAAGCTTAAACAGAAGCCTCAACAAAATATAACTATAATATCTGTTTTTCAGTATTTAATGATTCCATCCTTTGCATTCATTACAGCTCCCATTCCTTTCAGGACTCTTTTAAAGAAATCTGCAGGGATAATCTTCCACACTTCCACTTCAGTATTAGAAGTTGGTTGCGTTTTCTCCTTCTCACGAACCAAGTAATCCCAAAAACATTCAATGATGTTGAGGCCTGGACTCTAGGGCAGCCAGTCCATTTGATTTCCAAATGTTTCCCTTTTTCCTTTTCTCAGTAAGAGCTTTTTGACAGCTGCACATACTTTCAGAGTGGAGCCTGATGTTCTCCTCTCTCTAAAAGATGAAAGCTTTAAGTGCTGTTAATCTGATGGTGACAGTTTTGGTGTCTACCAGATCTTGCAGGATTCTTAAAGTCCCATTTTCTCTGTGTCTGTTAATCATTTGTTGAAATTCAGTCCTGTTTATCCACTCAGTTTTCTTTGGCTTTCTCTTTTCTTATGCAAGTGGATTATCTTATATTTAATCTCCTCAGAAATATGTTCTGAAAAATGTACAACTTGTACTAATGATAATTCTGACTGGAAATAAAACATATCAAGGGTGGTCTCTGATGTTTGCACGGTACTGTATGAGTAACATTTATTGTTACTTATTTGACTACCTGAAATCAGTAACTCTATGATATCTTGTAGTCAAACACATCTGGCTGTCCAGGAAGAAAACCTCCCACTGAAGTTGATCTCACAGTAGCTCATAGACTGCACAAACACTCTGACAGACTAGTACAAGTCCCTCAAGGCTCAGTTTTAGGGCCTTTGCTTTTCTCTTTGTACATGCTACCTCTAGGTGATGTCATTAGGAAACATACATTTTTATAGCTATGCTGATGACACCCAAATATACATTTCCATTGATGATCAAGATTTTTTACAATTACATCACGAAAAAGGATCTGCACAGGTCAACAGGAGTGAGGTCAGAAAAATGGTCAGAGATAATGTGATCACTTTATAGACTCTAAAGCAGCAGTTCTCAGAGATTTTTTTTAAACTTAGATTAGATTAGTAAGTGCTACTATGTCCCCACCTGTCACTCCACCTCCCACCGGTCATTGCTTAATGAATGATGACCATATTTTACCAGAACCTTGTCAATTTTACTAGCTTTCTCTGCAGCTATTGCTGACCTGGCATGGCGCTGTTCTATGACATTACACGTACCTTGTTAAGTCAGTGCTAGATGGCAGTGAATTGTGACTGGATGGCACGTATATTACACTTTAAAAATGTTTAATCAAATCTACCTTTTTTAAATAAGTACCACTTGTTTTAAATGGCTCCCTGTTTGAGAACCGCCACTATTTGCACTTCACAACCATTGCGATGACATCTGAAAATAGAGATATATTCTGAATTTGGCTAAGAAAAAAACATACTATATTTTATTATCTCACAGCCACTTTTTTCACCTCCCATCAAGGTGCCATATGCGTTACTGACTTTGATCACTTTTATCTCTCTGTGTGTTTCTACTTTTGCCGCTTCCCTCCTCTATCCATCATCTCCCTTCTCTAAAGCAGCAGACTGGGTCACCTCTTGTCTTTTCCTTCCTCTGTTCTTTTTCTTTCTTCCTCCTGTCCAATCTGTTGCCCTCATCTTGCTGGCACAGACACTGAGGATAAAAGATGCATTCTTTGAAATAAATAAATGAAATCTTGCATTGTATATTTCTCAGCCTAACACTATAGCGTCAGTTGTGCGTATTGTTGAAAAAAAAAGTCTAATCGCATATCCATTTTCAACTGGCAGTCTAGCACGCGGCAGATCTATTATTAGACACTTGCCGCAGAGATGGTATGCCCAATTAACCATGGGTTTGTGTTCCCCTAGTGTGTGTAAATACCAATGTATCAGTGTGTGTGTGAGTATGTTGCTTGGAGGCTGGTATGAATCAGCAGCTCCGCTGTCCTGCTGTCCTCATGACCCATAAGGCTCTTTGTGCGCTTGAGTGAGTGGCTGCCAGAGACGTGACACAGTGACGCATCACAGGACCCTGCTCACTGAACTCATGCAGTACGAACAGTAAAACACACAGATTTGTTTTTGTACAATGTCAGGACATGGAGTATATGGCCCATATGTATTATAAATATGTAGCACAAAAGTCAGAGACCACCTTTCATTTATTTAATTTCTAATCAAAGCATTAAATACAGGCTATTCATATGTATGTATGTACCGCTGCTGTAGGGACAAAACCTCGTATCTCTGTTTTTGACATTTTTCAGTTTTTTGACAATTTGAAAATGCCTTTTGCCGTAACAATATTTGTGAAATTCAAGATTAATGGCCCAAAAAATTGGTCCAAAATGACTTGAAAAAAAGTCTGGTCCCATTGACTTACATTAAAGGTGAAGTATGTTTTTCTTTCTCCTGGAAAGTTGGAGAAAGTTTGAAGATACAAGGTTACATGATGGACCAACAGAAATGCTTCAAAATTGCTTAGAATAAACCTCTTTCCACTGACTTACACTGAAAGTAAAGAATGTTTTTGCCCTCTCCT